ATTCAGTCCTAAATAAATAACAAAAATCAATCATAATTAAATTATCTAATCCTAACTAAAATTAAAATCTAAATTATAATCCTAACAGAATTATCCTAATCTCAACTTTAACATTTTGAAACCACTAGTTTTTATGCACGTGTATTGCACGTGGTTAAATATTATAACTATTTACTTTTAGTTAATTTTCTTACTAAAATTTATTCTTTGATTTCAATTTGATAGTTTTTACTCACTTATGCCTCTAAAATTTAATATTGTGATTATTTATCTTCTTTAATATTTGTTTGAATGGGTTATACCTAAAAAAAATTTTACCCTATGAATATTACTAACATAATAGAATAATGTTTATAAAATATAATCAATTAATGCTAAGCTATTATATTACTGTCTTTCATTCTATCAATATATCAAACTTTAATCTATCAATATATTTTTCAAATTTCATGATTTTTCTTTTGTAATTTTGAACTTTTAAGGGTCTTTCTACAATTTTTAAAATTGAGGGTGTTAATTGTAAATTTTAAATTTTAGGGGGGCTACTACTAATTTTTAGATTTTATGTTCGTTGTTTTAAGTTTTGAAATGTCAAGATGTTTTGTGTAATTTTGAACTATTGAGGGTGTTTTGTGCAATTTTTGAAACTTTTTAGTTTTTTAACAGTAATTCATGTATTATAGTATGTTAGCTACTTATTATTACCATTAGAGATCAATATTTATAAATTATAATCAATTAATATTAAACTATTATATTATAGTCTTTTATCAGTTTTTTGTGATTTAGTCTTCTTTCAATTAATGATACATATGTATTTTTTCTGCTCTAACATATTGGTAAAATTATATGTAGTTACTTTAATTTATACAATAATATTAATTTTTAATCTATCATATATATTTTAAAAATTTTATTCTTTAACTGGATATTTTAAGATGTTATTATTATTATTTTTCTACCAGTATCAACTTGACTATTTTTAGATTCTGAAAAGGGATAGTAAACCTTAAATTATAAGTTATATTTATATATCTTAATGAAAGAATATCAGACAAATACTCTTTTCTTTGCCAAGTTCTAAATTTTTAGCTTTTTATTTTATGTAATTTTAAACTTTTGAGAGTATTTTGTCTAATTTTTAAAACTTTTTGCTTTTTTGTAATACTTTATGTAATAAACTGATACTGCAGAGCTGTTTCATACATTTTATTAATCTTATTTAAATTGTTGAGCTAGAGATAGTTCATGGGGTATTAGGATACGATACAAGTATGATTAGGATATATTATAATTTAAATTAAATATTTAAAATAGTACATGGTAATTTTGACTATTGAAAGCTTTTTTCGAACTCGTGCTTTTAAAGGGAGTATGATATGATTTTTATTTTCCTTTATTTTTCTTTTTTTATAATATTGAAAATGACTTTTGTTTCTTTAATTTTTTTGGTGGATTTTATAAATATCTCATTCACATTATGTACATTTGTAGGTCTACGTTGTTCCTGGGTTCGACCTTTAGGGTAGACATTATTTGTCTCATTAATTTATTTGGTTTTTGTATATACACCCTTCATTTTGTAGATATTTGCAAATTTGGCATTTAATAATTTAATTTAGATTTACATTTTAATTTAAATTGTATCCTTATCTTCATACTATGCATATCTAATAAGAATTCATCAATTTATCAACTTACTCTTAATTAATGAAATAATATTTGAATTACAATGGTATTTTTGTCTATCAAAAGATTTTTCCGAACTCGTGCTTTTAAAGGGAGTATGATATGATATTGTCCTGCATCATATAGCCAAGGCTTTTGGCAAAACTAAAAGGGCAACATGTCGAAGTTTAGTAAGGCAGTAAAGTTGCACCCAGAAAAAGGGGTCATACTAGAAAAATGCAAATGGGCAACATGATACCCTTTCAATGAACGAAATGCCTAAAAGGAGTCTCTGGATTTTCTTTTTGCTGCCATTCAACTTTGACCTTGATCTACAAAGCAAGAACATATATTAGAAAGTAGGATACTATTTTCAATTTTCCTCATGAATAGCACCATCTAGTGTTTACAACAGTCCGGGCTAAGTTTTCTTTAGATCACACCCCCCCAAGAAAAGCCTGCTTTTCAAATGTCAAACATGGGCCTATTAACATGTTCAAACTGCATAATTTATGCCTCTCAGGTCATAGAAAATAATAAAAAAGTAATATTGTGATTAACTGTGGACAGTGACGTTCTCGCGGCGATGGTGGTTAAAAATGGACAGTGTCATCCTAATGGAGTATAGAATACAACTGTACACAGGTAGCAGGTGCTGTAAACTAACTCACTTATAATCTATACTAGTAGTAATGAGCCCATACTATGTGCAGAATTGCTTCCTACTCTGCCCATGCATGAAGTTCAGCAATCAAAGCATCAAAACTTGAAACATAAAACAGCACGTTACTCTGCCCAATTATTTCCCTGGGATTAGAATGCCCAGAATTAAGATGAAAGAAGGAAGGTAACATGTAGTAATGCCAACCAAAGGAGAAGAATTTAGGAAAATCAATAGTACATTCTCGTCTATACATGATAAACCACCAGCTAGAAAGGTACCTTTCCTCTTTAGACAAGCAGGGTAATCTTCTTTTGCTCTTATTGCACCTTGGGAGATGATGTGTGCTTCTACTTTCCGATCTCCAGCAGCAACATGAAATCATAAGAAGATTGGTACGAGCAAATCCAGAGACAGGAACACATTTTCAGGTGAACTTTAATTCTAAAGCCTTTTGCAGTCCAGCAGCAAAGTGATCCAGAGACTGGAACACACTTTCCTATCCTGGATCCTGATTGAACAATATAGAAGTCTTTAAAACAAGAGAATATGCAATCAATTACAGCTGAAAATAGACATTAGGAGAACATTGTGTTTGAAATTTCTCTAGATTTAGGTAGTTATCAGATGGTTTCTAATTCTATAGATTTCTGTTCAATTTGGACAAGTTCGAGTCCAACTGAGTCCACAAGGCCCTCTTTAATAAACAGGGACGCAAACTTCAACACCCAC